AATGTAGATTTTGGCTTATATCTCTGAAACCAAAACATTTAGAGTAAATCTGACAAGGGTAAAACTGATTATCAGGTCAAGATCTATCTGCCCTGAAATTTTCAGACAAATCTGACAACCTGTTGTTGGGTTGCTGCCCCTGAATTGGTAATTTAAAGGAAATTTTGCAGTTTTTATACGACCGCAAAAATTGAAAATTTTTTGGTCGTATATTGGTATGACGTTGGCGTCGTCGTCGTCGTCTGGCGTCGTCCGAAGACACATTGGTTTTCACACTCTAACTTTAGTTTAACAGGGTCCGACACTTACGGTTGTCCGATTGCCCGGGGCAAGCTAATGCCGTATTCGGACAAGTAAAAACATCATCTTGGTTGTCCGATCGGGCAAGTGAAAAAAAAGTGTTATATGATTAAAATTTCACAAAATCAATAGTGTCTGTTGTTTTGTCCATAGATTACTCAGTGATAACACCGCACGGTCGAGTAAAGTGGTCTTAACCCCACTTCAATGCGTATATTTCGTCAATTGTTCGCACTGAATTCCCCATTTTACCAAAAATTGATCACGTTTAAAAATATTGGCCAATCAGGCGGCCGCGGCATTGCTTCGTCATTATCGTTATCCATCGGGACACCACTCGGGCGTTTCCGACGCACGTGTTATTCCCACCGACCAATGGAAAGCGGAGGTCTATTTTCGTTGTTCTAACTTTATAATTTGACATCGGATGTGTATTTCCCTAAGATGGAAAAACGTAAAAGCTTGAAAGAGAAAATGAAATTAAACTTTAACAAATTTGTCAGTTGTTGTCAGTTTATCAAGAAGGGTTATTTGAAATGGCATTTCTTAGATAAATTATTATGAAATAAGTATCTCTATGTAAATGATCCAATTCCCGTATATTCATCGATCTTTTCCCTCCCTCCTCGGCTCATATATGCCTCATAGTATATTTTCATACTCCATAATCAATTTACACCCCATATACATGATAACTATATTTTATCTGCATGTACTACATTACAACCACAAAAATAGCATGTAAAAGTTTGGGCATGTAGATTTCACTTTCGGACAAGTAAAAGTAATAGGGCACTTGCCCAACTGGACAAGTTGGTATAAAAGTTAATGTCGAACCCTGTTTAAGTGAATGGATCTCCATGAAATTTTACCATAAGGTTCAATACCATGAAAGGAAGGTTGGGATTGATTTTGGGGGTTATGGTACCAACAGTTAAGGAATTAGGGGCCAAAAAGGGGCCAACAATAAGCATTTTTGTAACTTCCAGACAATAACTTGTGTGTAAGTGTATGGATCTCTCTGACATTGTACCACAAGGTTCCATATCACAAAGGGAAGGCTGTAATTGATTTTGGGGGTAATTGCCTCAAAATGTTAGGAATTAGGGGCCAAAAAAGGGGCAAAAAACAAGCATTTTTCTAGTTTCATGACAATAACTTGTGTGTAAGTGTTTGGATATTTCTGAAATTGTACTACAAGGTTCCATATCACAAAGGGAAAGCTGGAATTGAGTTTGGTGGTAATTGCCCGAACGGTTAGGAATTGGGGGCCAAAAAGGGGCCAAAAATAAGCATTTTTCTAGTTTCCAGACAATAACTTGTGTTCAAGTGTATGGATCTCTCTGAAATTGTACTGCAAGGTACCATACCACAAAGGGAGGCTGAGATTGAGTTTGGGGGTGATGAATCATAAGGGGGTTCAAAAAATTTTGGGGGGGGATTTTTTTTTCTTTTTTTTTCTTTTAAAATTTTTCCATTTTAAGTTGGTTATTTCTGATTTATATTTAAAAGCAAATAATAATGATATGGTAGGAGATACACACCAAACAGGATGTGTAAATTATTAAATAATAAGTATTGTGCAATAGCAAGAAATTTTCAATTGCACAGTATTGCACAATAGCAAGAAATCTTCAATTGCACAGTATTGCGCAATAGCAAGAAATCTTCAATTGCACAGTATTGCGCAATAGCAAGAAATATCCAATAGCACAATATTGCGCAATAGCAAGAAATTGTCAATTGTACAATATTGCGCAATAGCAAGAAATAATCAATTGCACAGTATTGTGCAAAAGAAGATACTTCGTATAAATTGCTTATTTCTTGATCAATTTCAATGGGGTTTTATTCTTGAATTCTTGGGGTTCTTTAATATGCTGAATCTAACCGTGTATTAAGTTTTTGGATTTTGGGCCCCGTTTTTAAATTGGTCCACATTGAGGTCCAAAGGGTCCAAAATTTAACTTTGTTTGATTTCATCAAAAATTGAATTATTGGGGTTCTATGATATGCCGAATCTAACCATGTATTTAGATTCTTAATTTTTGGTTCTGTTTTCAAATTGGTCTACATAAAGGTCCAAAGGGTCCAAAATTAAACTTAGTTTGATTTCAACAAAAATTGAATATATGGGGTTCTTTGATATGCTGAATCTAACCATGTATTTAGATTTTTGATTATGGGCCCAGTTTTCAAGTTGGTCCAAATCGGGGTCCAAATTAAACTTTGTTTGATTTCAACAAAAATTGAATATATGGGGTTCTTTGATATGCTGAATCTAACCATGTATTTAGATTTTTTATTATGGGCCCAGTTTTCAAGTTGGTCCAAAATTAAACTTTGTTTGATTTCAACAAAAATTGAATATATGGGGTTCTTTGATATGCTGAATCTAACCATGTATTTAGATTTTTGATTGTTGGGCCCCGTTATCAACTTTGTCCACATTGAGATCAAAAGGGTCCAAAATTAAACTTTGTTTGATTTCATCAAAAATTGAATATATGGGGTTCTTTGATATGCTGAATCTAACCATGTATTTAGATTTTTTATTATGGGCCCAGTTTTCAAGTTGGTCCAAAATTAAACTTTGTTTGATTTCAACAAAAATTGAATATATGGGGTTCTTTGATATGCTGAATCTAACCATGTATTTAGATTTTTGATTGTTGGGCCCCGTTATCAACTTTGTCCACATTGAGATCAAAAGGGTCCAAAATTAAACTTTGTTTGATTTCATCAAAAATTGAATATATGGGGTTCTTTGATATGCTGAATCTAACCATGTATTTAGATTTTTGATTATGGGCCCAGTTTTCAAGTTGGTCCAAATCGGGGTCCAAAATTAAACTTTGTTTGATTTCAACAAAAATTGAATATATGGGGTTCTTTGATATGCTGAATCTAACCATGTATTTAGATTTTTGATTATGGGCCTAGTTTTCAAGTTGGTCCAAATCGGGGTCCAAAATTAAACTTTGTTTGATTTCAACAAAAGTTGAATATATTGGGTTCTGTAATATGCTGAATCTAACCGTGTATTAAGTTTTTGGATTTTGGGCCCCGTTTTTAAATTGGTCCACATTGAAGTCCAAAGGGTCCAAAATTTAACTTTGTTTGATTTCATCAAAAATTGAATTATTGGGGTTCTTTGATATGCCAAATCTAACCGTGTATTTAGATTCTTAATTTTTGGTTCCGTTTTCAAATTGGTCTACATAAAGGTCCAAAGGGTCCAAAATTAAACTTAGTTTGATTTTAGCAAAAATTGAATTCTTGGGGTTCTTTGATATGCTGAATCTAAACATGTGTTTAGATTTTTGATTATTGGCCCAGTTTTCAAGTTTGTCCAAGTTGGGGTCCAAAATTAAACTTTGTTTGATTTTAACAAAAATTGAATATATGGGGTTCTTTGATATGCTGAATCTAACCATGTATTTGGATTTTGGACATTGGACCATAATAGGTAAAATAAAAAAATTCAAGTTCTTAGACCACATTCTTTCTGTGTCAGAAACCTATGCTGTGTCAAATATTTAATAACAATCCAAATGCAAAGCTGTATCAAGCTTGAATGTTGTGTCCATACTTGCCCCAACTGTTCAGGGTTCGACCTCTGCGGTCGTATCAAGCTGCGCCCCAGCGAAGCATTTTATTGTAATCTTTTACAAAAATCTTCTTCTCTGAAACTACTGAGACAAATTCAACCATACTTGGCCATAATCATTATTAGGGTATCTAGTTTAAAAAATTTGTCTGATGACCACGCCTTCAAACCATCATGGCCAACTTGGTTAAAAATAGAACATAGGGGTAAAATACAGTTTTTGGTTTATATCTCTGAAACTTAAGCATTTAGAGCAAATGTGACAGGTGGCAAAAATGTTCATCAGATTTAGATTTATCTGCACTGAAATTTTCAGACGAATCCGACAACCCGTTGTTGGGTTGCTGCCCCTGAGTTAGTAATTTTACAAAAATTTGGCAGTTTTTGTTATTATCTTAGATATCATTATAATATCTAATATCTAATACTATTAATTATGATTTTAACCTTATTTTACATGATTTCCAAAGCATCAGTAAATACAGGTGAGCGACACAGGCTCTTGAGAGCCTCTAGTTCAAACTTTCGGTCGGTTATAGAATTTCATGCGTTCAAAAAATCGAGGCCACAAACTTAGTTAAATTTGAGGTAGCCTTTTATAGTGCCAAATTATTCATGTTTTGTGTCAATTGGTACCACTGTGTGTGCATGTTGGTTTTGTTTTGTTTTGGTTTTTTTTTTTTTGGGGGGGGGGTCTATTTTAGCCATGCTCGTTGTATTACTAGTTGATCATGTAAATTCATTTAAAGCATTAGGATGAGCTAAAAGGGTGAAGGGCGTATCATGCGCTCATGGCACAGCTTTATTTTTAGTATATTAACATGTAACCTGTTAATTAAGAAATTAAATTAAAAAAAAAGCTAGGAAAGCAATACTTAATATAAAAAAAATATTATTTTGCAGGAATAATGCTATGAGGCATATTAGTTTTACATGGTTCTTCTTTCAAATTTGAAGCATGTTTGCATGCAGAGCATCATTTGACATGTTCCCTGAGTAAACATGCATGCTTATTTAATAAGCTACTTTGTTTCCTAGTTGTATGGTTAAAATTAGTAGTTATTCATCCTGACAATTTAATTTTTTTCAGGAAAACATGATAAATCAAATCAGCATTTATTGTCAAATTCAAGGCTGGCTGTTCCTGGAAGAATAGAAAACCTACATTCTCCAACAAGCATACAACCTAGTGCAAGAACTCCTTCTCCAAGATTGTTTGCAAATCATGATCCGAAAGAAACTAGTGACATCAATATGTGCAATAAAACTAGACATAACATTGATAATACACCTGTTTCTGAAATGGAATCAATGCAAAATGATATAATATCATCTTATTTGACACAGAAAAAACATGAGAGAAAAACTAAATCACCAATAAGTGGGAATTTAACTGTATCAGCAGCTATGGAATTGATCTCTTTAGAAAATATGATGTCTGTGAATAGTGCTATAGGTAAACATGCGGAAGGAATGAATGCTCAGGGTATTCTAAAAAATGACTTGATAAACAATGTAAAAAGACCGGAAAATATTCTAGGATCAAATGAAAATGAAGTTACAAAACTATCAAAGTCTGGGTCGTTCAAACGAAGATCTCCTGCTTCAGCATTGTTGAATCCATTACCGCAGCAATTTTTTGATCCGAAAAAATTGACTGAATCTGTTCAAAAACTAGTTAAACCTCTTCTTCCTGAATCATCAACTCTACCTCATTCTCAGAGACGTTCACCAGGATCAGTTGGTTCTAGAGCCTGTACTTCTCCTCAGTCACTGAAAAGTGATGGACTCAAAGATTCCATGGACAATTCAGACAATGTGATAAATGGTCCAATAGAATCTGATCTTATTTTTAACAATGACACCTGTGTAGTAACTAGTGATATTTTATCAAATTCCTCTTCAGATTTCCTAAAAATGGAAGCTGAAAATGGAGTGAAAAATAATTTAAACTCTCCAATTTTTAACCATGTTTTAAGTGAAAAAACTCCAAAATCAAATGATGCACACAATAGTGACAAGAATGGTGATTGTAGAAGTGATACTAGGAACTTAGGATCTGGAAATCATTCCTTATCTTCTCAGGAAAGTGCTCCTTCTAGTGTTAGTGCTGTACCTAATATTTATAACCAGTCAAACAAATCTAGTTTGGACAGTAGTTTTAGATACTCTACTGACATGACAGAGCAAAATATTCAGGAGAATCATAAACAAAATGCAAGTGATCATGTGAAAGTGCCAATTGAGGTTTCAGTAATGGATTCAATAAGCTTAGACTCAACTGTTACAACATCAAAAATTGACCTTTCTAAAGTGCCAACAAATAATAATGGTTCAGGAATAAATCCTATAAATCCTGAAAACGATAAATTGCTTGATAAAAGTGTGAAAAATAAAAATTTGAACAAGAAATCTGATAGTTCGTGCAATACAGGTGTTGAATATTCTTTGTTAAAAGTTAACTGTGATTCTGAAAAAACTTCTCCCAAATCTAGTCAGAAATCTACGAGTGTGTCACCAGTGAAAAAAGGCAAATCAGATGAAAAAGGACCTATCAAGCTTCATCTTTCTCATGGCATTATTACAAATCCACAACCATTTAGTAAAGAGGAGTTAGCAAATGAAACTAATATAACTGTGATAACGAGATCCGATCCTAGGAAAACAGAAAACTCTGCAGGGGAACCAACTGTTCCACCATTAGTGTTGAAGGTATCTCGGAAACCAGCTGTTGTTGAACCAACTACAGAACAAAAACATGAGGAATCTCAATCACTAACTATGTCTCTAAGAGCAAGGAAAGCATCTGATGCATCGGAATCAATACACAATTTAAGGCCACCTAAGCCAGTACGTCAGAAATCTGTTGAACAAGAAGTGGAACAATATAAAATAGTTGATGATTCTTCATCTAAATCTCTGCGGCAGTCACGAAGAAGAAAAACTACATCGGACAGTGATCCTGCACTAGATTCAGATAAGAGACTTCATATTGAAAACTGTTCAGAAGAAACTGACGAGAAAGTAGGAAAAACAGAAGAAATACAAACTGAAATTGGTGAAGGTCTCACATTATTTGATACTGTTAAAAGTGGTCTTAGAGCTAGGACTCAAAATAAGCCTGAAGAAAAGATCAAAGTTAGTCCTAAAGAGCTTAAACAGAGCAAAAGTGTTGAAGAAGACAATGTGAAACGTAACAGTCAAAATCGTAAGAATCGACAGTCACCAACCTCCACTGACAAACAACAAACAAAAGGTAATAATTTTTATGATTTGTTAGTTTATATTTTTTAAATGTCAGAAAGAAATACAGAAAACAAACATGTAAAAATGATGTCGGTAAATACATATTATATTTACATATATATGTAAATACTGGCAGGAAGAAAATCTGTCAAACTTAACTTACAATGTTTCTGTTAATTTTTTTTCTGAAAATTACATCTAATTTTATCTTATTCTCTCCTAAATCACAACATAAAAGAAACATGTATACCTCTAAGTAAACACAAAAAAAACTTCGTCCTTATGTTGCAAATCTCGTGTGAAGTTTAGACATAAAATAGTCTAGCAGCAAAACAGAAAAATCAAAATTAATAGAATGTGATTATCATATGATTGTGGTAGCGGAATGTCAAGTGTGAAAGATTTGATTGCAAAAGGGGCTTACCAATACACATACAAGAATGTTAAATTATATGTTTTTCAAAAGGATTTAATTTTAGGTAAATAACCTATTACATGTATACAATGTTATAAGGAAACAGAACTGAACAAAACTATAAGTTTGTAAACTCTAAGAAAAGAAACAATTTTGGATAAGTTTAATGAAAATATTACATTTGCAGAAGCTAGAGAAAAATCGCCTGGAAGAATTGTTAGAACTAGAAGTGGACAGATTTCCCCCAGTGCTGAAGATGATAATAGTAAGAGATCAACACGATCAGCAAAGCCTAAAAATCAGAGTGTTGATACACAAAATGGTATGTTCAGTTTCTTTAGGAAGTGATACACTTATTTATTTTTTTTGCAGTACTTTTATTACCATCATAAACTACATGAATTGCAACTTTTTATGTTTATTATTATATATATATTTTTCAGGGCTTCCAAAAATAAGGAGCCAGTTGGACATTTGTTTTCCTCCTTTCTTTGTAATCTCTTTTAATACTTAGAAAACTAAAGAAATTCAAGCCAATCAATGGGCCAATGGCAATGAATTTTGTGCCTGCACATTGAAATGATTGATAGTGATGCCCTGAAAGGACAGTAACTCTTATTATAGGATTACATTAACTGACAAAGTATCATTTATATAATGTGGACTTGTGTTAATGCAAAACAGTTTTAAACAAACTATTTTTGTATAAAACCACACGTTTTCTAATGTTGACTTGACATAGAAAAAACTTGAAACAAAGGCAGAATATGTGAAATATGTGTACATTATTTTTTAAAGTAAATGCTCAAGAACAACATTATTTACCTGAAAAAATAAAGATAACTGGTATTTTTTTTTTTCTCTTCTTTTTTTTTTTTACTTTTTGCTCAAAAATCTTATGAATTTAATCAGTTAAATATTGTTTTTACAAATTTTAATCACTTATTGCTAAAATTATTTTGATGCAAACCAGTTAAACATGACAAAAACTTCAAAAAGATCTAATGATGTCTGGTACTATTATACCTGTCAGGTGAACAGATAAATCTCACCTGTCTGACAACTCATTAACCTTGATGATGATAACAATATTGGTGAAAGGGTATTGAATAATAGGCTGGTTTGTATAGTTATGAACAGAAAAATTGCCAGTGCTAGAGCATGTAGAAGAAAGGTCTAGTAAATAAGATTGTCTAAACCTCAGAATTTTTCGTAATAATAAGATAGTAGCAAAGCCATATTTGGTGTCTTGTTCAGCCACCTCTCAGCTAGACCAAATGAAATTTGATGGACGATTTCGTAAAATGGTTTATTGTTTATAAACACACTGATAAATGATCCTTGATTTCAATACAAACCAATAACATGAATAAAGGACAATATTGTTATGAAAAGGGTTACATTGTACCACCTTTTGAAATTAACTAGTGCTAGTTGTCCCACTTCGAAAGTTGTGATTCTCACAATAATTTAAAGTTGTTTGTAATTAAAATTTTAGTCCTATTGGGATGATTATTTAATTGCTATCTTTTTGGCAAATTAGGAACTTTTCTTGCTTAGAAAATCTAAAGAAATGGGCATATATGTGGAAGAAAACTTTGCCTATCATTTGCCTATATAATGTTATAATCATGATAGTTAAGACATCTTTGCTCAGAATCATCGACCCTTGCCACTACATTACATACAAGACCTAGCTACTGCTTATTACTACAAGTAGAAAAGATAAATATACTTACGTGTTTGATGATTGATGATGATCTAGTTTTGGGACCAAATTGTTATATGGTGGACCCTCTGGAATTTTGTTTGATGATTCCTATGAAATAGTCATTTATAAATGTATTTCACTTGTTTAAGTTGTTAACATATCAAGTCAGTGAATGCAATGTAAAACGTTACCCTTAGTTACATATTCTTTCTTGTGGAGAAATTTTTTGTCACCCTTAGAATTCAAACAAGTACATGTTTGTCTTTGATAATAAAACTATTGTATTATGTCACCATACAAATAAAGATTTCATTACATGCATGTGTTATTCTGTTTGCAGATGTAACCGATCTACCTCCTCCAAGCAAGAGACGTCGCACCACATCTCGTGACCACAGATAGGAAGCTGTCTCATCACTGTACAAATGTATATATATATATGTATATCCTCATAAATAGCCAGTGTTATTGTTGACAAGAAATGGCATATAATGTACATGATGTAAAATAGTGTATAATTTAATAAAAAATAGTGCTTTGATATCCATTGTGTATAGATCATGTGATATTCACTTAGTCTCCCTGTAGACGGGGAGGTTGTACTTTTTAATAAAACACTTAATGGTTTTTGTATTGTGATAATTTTGTTGTAATGATAGAGTTTATAATGAATTTTTTGTTTAACTGCCAGATGGAATATATTTTAATAAGTTTTTGTCTATTGCTGTTTACAAAAGTATACTCTTCACATTTTGTCCATTTAAGTACACATGTGCATTCTAACAGGTTTTTGTTCTTGATGCACAAACTAAATTTCGATTTCATGCTTTTTGTTGCAGTTTTTCTTCCTTATTACCAGTACACAAACTGATATTTGAACATTTTAACGACCAGTATAATTATTAATAGAACCTGATTGATATCTCTTCCTTTCTTACCTCATAACTTATTCAGTTTTTAGTGACTGTATATATGTATACATTTAGTCATTAGAGGCCTTTAGATACATTGTATTAGAAGTGTAGACCTTTATTAACACTCTCACCAGATAATTAGGAAGAATGAATTCCTGCACTTAAGGTTATCATGAAATCCAACACATATCAAATTAAAAGAATACAACTATTAAAACCCTAAATTACAAAATTAACTTTGCTAATTATTTGTTATATTTGAAATATAGATATATTTGCTTTGATGGATCAAAATCTGTTTTAATATTTTCATCACCTGCGAGTAAATTGACATCAAAACAGTGAAAAATAGAATTTACTTGAATATCCTATATCTAAACAAGAAACTTTAAAAGTTTTAACTTCAAAATTGCATAAATATTATAGTGTACTTAATAAATGTGTAACCCCATACTGTTCTCTCATCAATTTCTTTTTAGCAAATATTTAGCTGTAACATAAACAAAAATTGCAGCTTCTCATTTACAACAAAATGGAATTCTGTGCAGTAATATTTAAAGCATTTTGTTGATATGACTGAAAACTAGAGATTTCTTGACTTCAGTCATGTGAGCTGCTGAAGCAGTTTATTTAAATGGATAAAATGAGAACTGTATGACTGTGTGTGAATGCAGAATATTGCTTTTTGAAGATTGTTTATTTTATAAGGGCTTCGTGTTTGTTGATATATTCTTGTTTTCTAGTCCTCATAGAACTTATCTTTACAATCCTCTTAACAGATTTATTTCTTCATAGAGTTTATGAATACAAATAATGTGGAACGGTACTGACTGTCTGTACATAACATGTGTATATAATATATATAGTTGTCCATCTAAAACATGTAGATAATACTGTTATCACCATCTTACATTTCACATGCTGGGTCATGAAGACTGTTGATTATTGTAACATTTTATAAACAATTTTCGTGTGAGACTCGAGTTTTTAACTTTCTGTCATCGAGAAATGAAATTTTAAAACATTTTTTCTAAAGTTATCACTGTGTATGTGTCTGCCATCATCAGTAGAACACCAAACTAATGCTTGTTAAGTATTTTTACTCTTACCTTGTTAATTGCTTTTGTCTCTTATATAGGCTTTAATGGTAACATTGTCTTCAGTAATGAGATTATTTCAAATTGATTTTTTAGAAAGTCTCAATCTATTTTGAAGAAAGATTTTTTTTTCTTAAACTACAATTCCTTTACTTTCTTGAAGTTGATTTGTTACACACTGCAAGAAATTGCATCAATAATATAAATTTAATTTGACTTGACAACTTCCAATTTCAAAGAGGTCTACTAAATGATTGTTAAAAGAAGTGTCCTAATCTATATGGAGTCGAGATTTTAGCAAGTTATTGTATTTTAATCAGATATTTCAGTGTTTTTGACTTGTTTATTTTAACCAAAAAGTGATAAAAATATTTCTTTTGTTATAAATCATGTTAGGAAATAAATCCACTGATTTTATGTGTGTTGTATTTTCTTATACATTTTCGCTCTGATTTGAGTATTAAAGATGAACAGAAATGCATAGTATATTATATATACTTAAGTGTTAACCACTTGTTCAATTCCTGTCCCTTGTTAAAACATCATTGAAAAAGCTGTGCTAATTGTTACTTTTTTCTTTTGAAATTACATGTAGCTATCAAAAGTATGAACTTTGAAAGTTTCTGTAGTTCATTTATATAATTTTTGGACAGTTTCCAAGAAATACAGCAAAGCATTGTAGTTTGAAGTCAAGGTCAATATACAATTCTCAAAAACCAAGAGCCCATTAGTGCACTTGTTAACTTGATAAAGCACAAAGCACAAAGGAAATTAAGATGCTCTCCAATTGGACTTTCTCAACTCTTTATTTGTGGTAAAAATTATGTTCACATCCATAAAAATATAAAACTCATGATTCAAACACTTGTTCGGAATTGGGGAATAGTGTTTGAATTATAGATTTTCACTTCTGTGTTTTCAAAGTTTTATAAGTTCAGAAAAAAAAGACTAATTGGTTTGTTGCTTATTTACGAGCTCTTGCTACTGGACAAGCAAGCAACAATCAATCAGTATTGAGGAGTTCAAATGTATGAAACCTCACATGTGAATGAGAAAATTTCTGTTATAAGTTTGTCCTGTTTGCAGCTGTTTTATTTACCGGTATGTGCATTATAACCTAATTTGAAAATCAAAAGTGATAGATACCGATTATCAGGTTGTCTGCATATTGATATTGTAAAATATCAGCTGCCAGTCACAATATGAAGCTTTTTGTAGAATGCTCTTTTTGTTAACAGGAAAAAATATAATTCTCAAAATTTATTGATATTTCAGATTCAATATCATTTATAAAAGAGTATATAATCTTCTCTGAAGCACTACAAACCTGATTCCAGACTGGATTTGTATTTTAGATTTCAGATTCTAGAACTACAGTTAATTCCAACATAAATATGCTAAGCAAACATCTCATTGGCAATCATACCACATCTCCTTATATTGGTGTCTTGATTAGATTAGTTGGATAGTGTTTTATTTAAAAACAATTGGCTATTCCAAATATGTGTTATGATGCTTATCATAAACAAATTCTCACTGACATGAACTTGTATGCACAGAAGTTAAAATCTATTACACTGTTAGTACTTTATTTAAATGATGTTATAGAATTTACCTTTCAAGCATAACTATATTGCTTCTTGACACTTAAATCTATGACAAGTTATAAATCAAGTTGATTGTAAAAATAAAATTGCTCACCATTTTTTCTGTTGATAAGAATAAAAAGAAAAAAGTGTCCCTGACTGTTTTGAAGTTGAATTTGTCTATAAGTTAAGGGATTTATACTTACTGGTGTTTCTAGAAGTTGGAATAAAAGAAAAACATTCACAACTGTGAAGATGTTCATTCAGACACATATATTGAGAACTAGAATGGGGAGTACATTGGGACACTGTTTGTATTATTAAGTTTGATGTATATGTCTATTTATTCAATCTTTTGTATTAAAACATCATGAAAGTTTTAGTGTGATGTTTTATTTTATACTTTAAAAGCGCTTTTTGGGTTTTTTTTTTTTACATGACAAAAGTTTTTTCCAGTCATTTGATGGTGTGGTGCAGTCTTCTTTATCTATTTATATGCACTTAATTCCTGTGGGATAACTTATAATCTAGATGAACCAACATTCAACCAGAAATTGACCGTCTTTTTGTCCCCCATGCGACGTGTTGGAGGGGACATAGAAATACAGGGTCTGTCCGTCCTTCCGTCCGGTCTTGTTAGCGCTCTCACATGTACAATTCTTGCCAGATTTTTGTCTCGCCTTGATGGAGTCAAAATCGAGACATAGGTATGCTGTTTCCAGCGACGACGGCAGCAGCGTCAACAATGTATTAGTTTGTGATTAGGTCTAGTTCATGGTGAACCACTAGTGGTAGGTCAATGATATTTGGTATGCAGTTGTATTAGCATTGGCACATCTCATTACCATGGAGATTATTTTGCCCCGCCCCCTCAGTCCAGGTCTATTGACTTTGAAACTTTTCATAGTTGACATGTATTAGTTTGTGATTAGGTCAATTTATGGGGAACCACTAGTGGTAGGTCAATGATATTTGGTATGCATACCTGTCAACCTATGACAATGAAAATGCAGGTGATGACCTGCATAGAAGAAAGAAATCTCAGGTCATAATGCATACAAAATTTTTTCAAGCTGAATTTTAGTATTTAGGGGACATTTTTCGTATAATTTATATCAAAGCTTCCAAAGCATGTCCACATGGTTAAGTAATTTAAAATTGTACATTTTATTATTTCATTGCATTTGGAAGCCATTGATACATTGTGTTACATTGCCTTTATTGCTGTTCATATTCAGTCCATGACATACAATGTGCCAATATGTGTATTATTTGCATACATTTTTTTTTTTTTTTCTTCTTATACATTTGTGCAGCTTTTAAACAATACAACATATCAGAGGTTGATATTATAGTATAATAAAATAAAGTTAAACAATTAAAGGAGGTATAGATGAAAAAAGTAATTTTCAAAATTTTTTATTTTCAAATTGTCCTAAGGTAGAACAATAAGTAAAAGTATTATTCTGATATGTTTTTGCATTCAATTCATTTTAGATTTAATCTTTTTACAAAAAAACATAAGTTTAAGGAGTATATTGTGAATTGACAAAAAAGGGGAAGTAACTCAAATTGTTTTTAAAACAACTTTGAAATACACAAATTATTTACGACCTAAAGCTAAGGTAATTGGTGTAAATTAACAGTGTGTTTGACACCAAAGCTGTCAAGTGAAGCCATGCACTGAAATGGGTCACTTGAGCTGAGTTTACAAAGCTAGCTGAACTTCTTGTCCAGGAAGAATTACGATCAATTACGAATTTGCCGGTTTTTTAAAGAAATCAGTTTATCTCTAATCAGTCTGAAGGCTTAGGAATCCGGGTGAAAAAGGGTTATTTTCCGAATTCCTGGGTTATTTGGTCACCTGACGGGTGTTCCGGGTGACCCCTCAGAATTGTGAAAATCTCGGGTCACACCCGCAGGACCTGGGTCAGTTGACAGGTATGGGTATGCAGTTGTATAAGCATTGGCATATCTCATTTCCATGGAGATTATTTGGCTCCGCCCCCTTAGTCATGATCTATAGACTGAAAATTTTGCTAAGTTAACATGTATTAGTTTGTGCTTAGGTCAGTTCAAGGGGAACCATTAGTGGTAGGCCAATGTTAATTGTTTTTCAGTTGTATAAGCATTAGCACATCTCATTTCCATGGAGAATATTTGGCCCCGCCCCCTCAGTCATGGTCTATTTACTTTGAAACTTTTGCTTAGTTTACATGTATTAGTTTGTGATTAGATCAGTTTAAGATGAACTGCTAATGTTAAGTCAATGATATTTGGTATGCAAATTTATTGGCATTTGCAAGTTTCGTTTCCATGGAGATTATATAGCCCCACCCCTGATCATGGTTCATTGACTTTGAAACTTTTACATAGATTACAAGTTAAAGTTTGTATTTAGGTCTGTTTAAAGGGAACGACTTATAATAAGTCAAAGGTATTTGGTATGCAGTTGTATTAGCATTGACACATCTCATTCCATGGAGATTGTTTAGCCATGTACCTTCAGTCATGGTTCATTGACTTTGAATATTTGCATAACTTACATGTTAAAGTATTGCTATTTTAATTTCAACATTTGCATTATCAAAATTACAAAAAGGCGTGACATATCTCTGTGATAACAGTTTATTATAAAACTTATATAGATTTATATCAGAAATGTCTCGGACGAGTTTGAAAATCAGTGCCGATCAATTATTTTTAAAAGAGTTATGACCCTTAAATTATAAATTATATGGAAATTTGCATTGTAAGCACTCTCACATGTACATTTTTTGCCAGATTTTAACAAATTCATATCAAAGATTAATAACAGCAATGTCTCTCACAATTTCGAAAATAAGAGCCGATCAAATATTTTTAATGAGTTATGCCCTTGGAAATATTAAATATATCTGAAATTGCTCTCAAGTCTTCAACTCTCAAAGATAATTGTAAAAAACAAAAAAATATTTTTGTAGTTATTGCCCTTGGACAGATAGAATATGTGCAATGCAGGGGACATTGGAACTCTGTTCTTTTATTTTTCATATGACAAAAGTTTTTTCCAGTCATATTGGTGTGGTGTAGTCATCATTATCTGTTTATATGCACTTAATTCCTGTGGGATAACTTGTAATCTAGATAAAGGATCCCAAAATAATTTTATCAGATTTAATGAAAATGGGAAGTCTGACTTCATCCATTTCTGAAAAAGGGCTGAGAGAAATCAGAGGTTGACTTAAAATCTGGGGAAGCTGAAGACAAGTTGTAGGTATGTACTCTGTCCTTCTGTCTGCTCCTCCATCTGAATTAATTGATTAGATATTTGGTATATAGTCCTAAAAAGTTACAGACCAAGTTCAAGTTTGTGATTGAACGACATTTGCTCACTTTTGAATTCCTGAATCGATAAGATAGTTGGAATATTGTCACATAAGAATTATAATTGAAGTTTTGAGTTATGTTATGGTTGAAAGATATTTGTGAAAGTTTTGGCTCTACCACATTGAAAATTGCTTGAAAATGTCAAGTTTCTTTTTAAAGAGAAAAACCTTGATTCCTCTGAGGTTGAATTGGAACAAAGTGCAATTGAATACTTATTGTCACTGGCTGGTTAGCTATATTAAGCTATATTTCAGACTTCTTCTCTCCTTATGTGTGTTAGTACAATGCATAGTGTTTTTCTGAATTAGTTTACTTCTACCTTTGTCAACCTATTGAAAACTTACCATCTCATATACCAAGACACTAAGTAGGAAAATGCAGGCCTTAAATACCCTCCCTGCTGACACCAAACTTCTCTTTGGATGTCACCTCAATCTACAACATTCCACATGCAGATGGTATTGATGCATGTAGAGATGTTGGAATTTCACAGTCTTGCTTTCACTTCCCTAATGCCTGGTTGAAATGCACAGGATGGCACTGAAGAATAATGGAGACCAATACTGACAAATTAATGAATCGGCAATGAGCACAAGAATGACACCATAATATGCCAACATATTATGAGTAAATTAGAAAAACTCTTTAAATCTTTTCATATTAGAGTATGCATTAGCATAAGTTGTCAAATTCTTGTTCACCGATTTCACCAAAATTCTCATATTTTATTTATAGCATACTAAATTGTATATCCAATTCACCAAAAGTCTGAAAGACACAATTAACAATGCATCGGCTCTCTATAATGTATCGGCATTTCGTACGTATTTTTTACCAGACACCATCTAATTATCAATCGAGATGACCTCCGAAGACTGCCGAGGGTCATATAACACGATATAAACAAATATTAATATAAATAGATAATGGGCATGTGCAATCTGATTTCTCTAGGTCTGTTTGATTTCATTTTTGTCTCGCCTGCGACGAAAGTCACGGAAAGCGAGACATAGGGATTGCTTTTTCCGGCGATGACGGCGTCAACAATTGTTAAGTTTTCTGCTTTAGTTAGTTTGATAGCAAGTACTTGTGATAGATCAATGATATTTTGTATGAAGTTGCATTACTATCAGTACATATCAGTGTGACGACTATTTTGAGGCCCTGCCCCCTAGTCATTGGTCAAGTGACTTTGAATTAATTAGCCATTTTAAATGTTAAGTTTTCTGCTTAAGTTAGATAGATAGGAACTACTAGTGATAGATCAATGATATTTTGATTTAATAAGCCATTTTCAATGTTAAGTTTTCTGCTTAAGTTAGTTTGATAGGAAGTACTTGTGATAGATCAATGATATTTTGTATGAAGTTGCATTACTATCAGTACTTATCAGTTTGACGACTATTTTGAGGCCCTGCCCCCTAGGTCATGGTCCAGTGACTTTCAATCAATTAACAATTTTCAATGTTAAGTTTTCTGATTAAGTTAGTTTGATAGGAACTACTTACAATAGACAATATTTTCTCTAAAGTTACATTGCTGTTTGTACATCTCAGTGTGTCAACCATTTCGAGGCCCTACCCACTAGTTGGTCCAGCGACATTGAATTAATTAGCAATGTTGCTGTCCATCAGATTGTCTTTTTCTGAATCTTATGCCGACAGGCGAGACATATCTATGTGTCAACAGTTTATACTGTTAAAAATATATGTAAATCATCGTTTTACCACTTTAAAAATGATATTTGTGGGCCGGATCAGTCAACGAAATGGCTATTCCTAGTGTCTCTCTTGTTTCACTTCTCAATGTTGACATAATGAATGAACATGCTGACGCAACCCATCTAATACGGATTCAAATGAGTTGGATTATTGCCATTATACACCAGTGATGTGTTTTTATCTTATTTTGACGAAATTGAACCAAACTGACTGCATATAGTAAAATATCATTTCTTTATTCCGCTTATATAAATGTTTGAACAAAAAGAAATCATATTATATTTTTGTCGAATTCGTAGCTAACGCCCCTTTTAGACAAATTTATCACCCATGCCAATAACATTCTTCCCAGAATTATATTTGCACATGAGCTATCTATTCATAAATAACATGATACTTGCAGCTTTCTTACGGAAGACATTACTCTAACTCTTATCCTACTGACCCCCACCAATACCTATCCCCCAAAAGCTGCCATCCTGTTAAGTGTGCTAAAAACTTACCGTACAGTAAAACACTCAAAGAGTCCAGCGTATATGTTTCAACATCAAAACTTGAAAATCGCTTGAAGAGAAGGGGTTATAAACTCCAGACTACTAGTATTCAGAAAAATTTCATTTCGTGCAAGTTGTTACAATACAATGATAAAAAGAAAAGGGCTCCATCTGATCTAACCTACCAGTCATCTGTGAACTCCGTTGTCATTCGGGAACATTGGAAATCATAAGCCAGTTTGCATCTGGAGAGTGTCGCTCGTGTTAGGACAAACACTGTAAATCCGCACAGATGTATCATTCATCAGAAATGCCACCAAAAGGAACTACACAATATGTTTCAGTGAGTTCTGGAAATGTCCGAATGTCATTTACATTCAGAATATTCCGTCTGTTGTCCCAAATATGTTGGCGAATCAAAACTGCAATTCCACAGACGCCTCAATGGGTACATTCCTGACAAAAACTGCTCTAACAGAGTTATGAGGAAAATGGACTGAAATCGACACTGCATTAGATTTACAGTCACCATCACGGATTGGTCTGTGTCTCAACTCATCTGTGACATGTTTTCGCGGTCTTAAGATGTTTTGGGTACCAAAGTAGTCGTATAATCTGTAAATTTGACGATTGTGAACTTTTGGACTAAGTGTGGTTTTACACAGCATTTGATGCATGCCTAGCAGGAGAGGCTTACATTGTCGATGCACTCCTTTTAAGTTGATGCGATTCCCTCACTTTTTGTTTTTACCTTGTTTTTCATCTTCTTCATGGATTTATGAGATTTAAACACCAGTAAACTACTGTTGTCTCAAATCTATGCCCACTGAGGCGTTTGTGGAATGTCTGCTTGACTCATCAATGGTCATCAATAAAATTCAGTGAGGCCACAAACCGAACATTCTTTAATGCTGAAACCATTCATAATCATTCAGTCTTTAGCAGGTCACATTGTAAAATATTTTATGAATGTATTTTTTTTTGGTGGCTTTACTGGTCAATGATGATGAATAATGAATATTGTACCTATGACAGTATGTGCAACAATTTGCAGCGGTTGTCACCAAACGAGTGGCTTTCTCCAAAGGTAAGACTGGGCTTAGACATTTCAGTCAGCACTAGCAGATTCCTCAGACTATTTGGTTCCCTTAATGTTTTTGAAAAGATGGTTGGTAAGTTGAAACACATGGAGTCCTTTTATTTTATTTTCCATAGAGCAGCTTGCTCTTTGGGATACTCTTCGCATCAAGGAATATATCGCGTCGAGGGACAATGCCTACGAAAACTTGAAAAGTGACTCAGAAAACGAAAATAGCTATAAATTTATCTAAATCAGGACTTGGATCCATAAACCGAGCAAAAATGCCACCTTTGAATGCCTATAATCATTTATTGGCAAAGTAAAATCAGACATTCCTGAAAAAAACAGGGAAAACAATATATGTAACTCTTACGTTAATGATCTTACCCCTGGAGAACGCGCTGTACTGACAGACTTATGAATCATGAATAACATTGTCATTAAAACTGCAAATAATGTCATCATGGACAAATCTGCCTATATTCGAGAAGCTGAACGTCAACTTGCCGATACAAGAGTACACCGAAAACTAGACTATGACCCAATCCCAAGATTTAGCAGAGAAATAACTGTTCGTCAACAAGGCAACCAAAAAGAACTATACAATGTGACCTGCAAACTTCAGAATGTTTTGGATGGCAAACAAGGCAACATATTTTTTTTTATTCCCTGAAACTTGATGGAAGAATATTTTGAAACCTTAGGGGGCTGGATATTCGAAGAACCTATTCAAACGATTTTCATTTAATATTGATAGGTTTGAAAACTTGGAATTGGTGCCACATAAATCACATATTGAAGTTCTAAGGAAAATCACATTTTAATCTACTTGATCTTTGCAGGAATGGTATAATTGGACTCAAGTTACATGAATGAAAAGCGATTATCTCCGTCCATTAATCAGTAACCCAATAAGACATAACCAAAAGACATCTATACTTCAACATACAGGTAATATATCGATTTCTGTTGAAAAACTGTAAATATAACTTTAAATTCTCCCAACGTTTACTTTTTTTTTATCTGATACATGCGTTTCAGATCATTTCAGTTTTTATATTTGAATGAATACTTTTTGTAGTTTTATACATGTTATATTTTATCTTATTGAAATAACAGCAATTTAATCTTAATGCCATGGTACATTTCTTTATGTGTTCAGCTTAACCTTTATTCCAAATAAACAGCATGTAAAACAAGATAAATAGTCCGAATTATCTGTAAAAATGACGACTTTCAAATTCTCACAACGTTGAACTTTATTGAATACTCCCAACTTTATATGACGAATCAGCTACCTTAAGTCCACAAAGTAACACCTGCATTTTAATTTTTACATTTAATTGAATATTGTTTTGCAGTTTTATTTCTTATCTGACTAAACAAAAAACAGCAACTTAATTGTTTCCCCATTGTATATTTCTTTAAGATCCTTTTTGTGTGCAGCTTTACCTCCCTTTATAAATAAACAACAGGTACACACACGCTTGCGGTTTAAATATAAATAGTCCTAACTTCCCGTTTATAATACTTAGCACAAAATAATACAACATGAACAGACCTAAAAGAAAGGCAGCCAAAGATTCTGAGGTTAATGCTAAACGAGCCAAAGGAGAAACAGATCTTGAAGGAGATCTCAAATGGCATCAGTATGGAGATGTCATTAAGGGGGTGTGTCCCCTCCTGAAACTTACATCCGACATCCTCCCCGGCTGCGACAAGGTAGCTGGCTTTGATATTGATTTTACAGTTATCAGAACTGCAAGTGGTAGAAGATTTGCTACGGGTAAGTATTTTATAGAAACTTTCCTTGTTTATAATTGATCGACTTATTGTTAAAATGTATCTTTATAAACTGAAACACAATTAACCTGTATACATTCGTAAATCGCTTTTCCTGGATTCTCTTTGAAGGTGCTTCAGATTGGGAATTTTGGGATGAAGTTGTTCCAAGTAAACTACAAGAACTTCACCACAATGGTTACAGAGTAATTTTCTTTACGAATCAAGCTGGAATAGAGAAACTTAAAGTTAAACCAGAAGAATTCATGAAAAAAACCGAGGCTATTATTAAAGAAGCTGGTGTACCAATTTATGTAAGCATACACAGATGTCTATTTTTGCTGAAATTTTGTTGTTTGGCTGGTGAATCAAAAATCATGTATCTCTTGTCTTCTTCTTCTTTTATTTAGTCTTTATTTTAATACAAAGCAACATTAAAAAAATGTATGTACCACCATTGCTTTTCTCCTATTAGTCTTTGTTAAATTTGCACTTTTCAAAAAATTGTGCAGAATTTATCTTTGTTTCAAATAAAGAAATACTTGGCATGAGTAAAGTTTTATTCTGTCCAGTACTACAGACAAAATTTCACATAACATTTCAATTCATATAAGATAATAACCATCACTGGAAGTTAACCAACAAATGTTCACCCCTTTTTTTCCTGTGTACAAGCTTTAGTAACCATGTAACCTCAAGTTTCCAAAATATTCTATAGAAACACCAAAAAAAAAAATAATGGTGCTTTGAATCACCCAAGATATATGTTTATGACTCATAAATTTTTTACTGCAATGAAATGTAGGATTAATTTCCTACAACCATAACAACTGTCAAATTCAAGGGAATAAATTTTTCGAACTTTTTTCGTATGCAACCAAATGTGACATACTTAATGAATGGCTATTATTTGTTTTGAATTTATTGAACCATAAAATTAATTTTTGACTCTTCACATTGAATAATCCGCGAAGCGGATTATGTAAAATGTGAAGAGTCAAAAATTAATTTTATGGTTCAATAAATTCAAAATAAATTATTGCCATTCATTATAAATAAATTTCTATCGAAAATAAGGCTCAAAGACCTGGCGTCACATCCATTTACTTTAACAATAACCACATACACACATGTTGGCATATGAATACACAGCGTCAGAGTGGGCGTGTCGCCATAAAAATTGACAACATTGAAAATAAAGGTAATTCTTTTAACCAATCAGAAGACAGTAAATACACCAAATTTATTTATTATGATTTGGTGGTATTACACCTAAAGAAGATTTTTTTGTTAAATAACCTGAAAGTGATTTTTTTCCTTTGTAATATTGGTTATTTCAAGCACTATTGTCAAGTTTTGTCATAATCATTATCAGTTCAATAGTTGGAGAAAAATGTAGTATAATGTAAGACGACATCACAATTCCAGCAAAATTTCTTCGAAATATCCATATCAAGCATCATCATACTAGAATATATATAGTGTGGACCAATAAATGATCAAATATTTATCTCATCTGCCTACAAACAGTTGAATATGTTACAAAAGATGACTCTAGGATGATAAATACCACTAATTCATTATAAGGTCCCTTTTGGTCCATTTATACCTCTCATTTCCTCAAAATTTCAACTTTTTAGGCCAATAAATCAAAATTTTGGGGTAACTTTCACACATTTATGAAAGAAATGTGATAATAAATGAGTAATTGAAGTATTCAAGCTGAATGAACTATCCATATAAAAGTTTACTGACTCCATGGAGGTTTCAATAAGTCCATTACGTAAAATTTAAATTTATGCCACGCTCCAGAGAGGGACATAAAAAGCTTACCTTTTAGTGAATAATTTGTTGTTACTGCTTCAAAAATAATATCATTTACTTATAACTGTATATATATTTAAGTATTACTTAGGAAAAAGTTTTCTTTTATAGCAAAATGTAAGAAATAAGGAGAAAAAGTCAGAAAAAGCTCTCCAAAACTCTGAGTATGGATTGCTCTGTCTACTAATATTCATGGTAGAGTCTTATTTCAAGGCAATTTTCTCTTCAAATGTGTTTTTGAGACTCAATCCACTCAGAATATTTCATTTTTGTAATATTTCACTTAAATAGCATGAAATTTTTACAAATGAGAGTACATACAAGGTCAAAGGTACATGTGCAGCTTCCCATAATAGGTGTAATACCACCATTGTTTATGTCCAGTATAATTAGAGATTAGTATAATTATCTGTTGTAGGTTTTTGCTTGCACAGGAACTAATCATTTTAGAAAACCTAGTACAATGATGTGGGAACACTTTGTGAAATATTGTAATAAAGGAATAAAGGTAAAAATTCTATATTACTTCTTTCAATTTATTAGAAAAAAAAAAGAATAAAAGAATTACAAATAAGTCATTTAATGTATGTGATGTGTTCAAACAAACTATCCTTTCTCAATATGGTAGTAAGATGAAACAGAATAATTGTAAAAAAAAACATAAAATCCAATATTGATTGAAATGACTAATTTACTATGAGCATTTATGCCTTTAAAAAACTGCTTCAGCTAGTTATCATTTATGCCTATAAAGACCGCCTCAGTTAGTATTTGTGCCTTGAAAAACTGCCTCAGCTATCATGTATGCCTCTAAAGACCACCTCAGTTAGCATATGTGCCTCTAAGATCCACCTCAGTAAGCGTTTGTGCCTATTAATACTGCCTCATTCAGCATTTATGCATCTAAGAACCATCTGAGTTTGCATATGTGCCTCTAAAGACTGCCTCAAATACCATTTGTGCCTCTTAAGACTGCATCAAGTAGCAATTTTGCCTATAAAAACTGCCTCAGTTTGCATTTGTGCCTCTTAAAACCACCTCAGTTAGCATTTGTGCCTCTTAAGAGTGGTTTATAGTATTTGTGCCTCTTAAGAGTAGTTTATAGCATTTATGCCTCTCAAAAGATGATTATAGTTAGCATTTGTGCCTCTAAAGACTGCCTCAGTTAGCATTTGTGCCTCTAAAGACTGCCTCAGTTAGCATTTGTGCCTCTAAAGACTGCCTCAGTTTGCATTTGTGCCTCTGAAGACCTGCTCAGTTCACATATGTGCCTCTAAAAACTGCCTCAATTAGCATTTGTGCCTCTAGAGACTGCATCAATTAGCATTTGTGTCTCTTAATACTACCTCAAATAGCATCTGTGCCTCTAAAGAATGCCCAACATGATTTAAAACTAAAATATAAAAGTAGTATTGTTTGTTTACAGCCTGATAAGTCCAAATGTTTTTATGTTGGTGATGCAGCTGGAAGAGCAAAGGAATGGTCCCCTGGTAAACCTAAAGATTTCTCTTGCAGTGATAGAATGTTTGCAGCTAATGTAGGAATAGGTACACCATAAATATTTATTTAGACATATTATTGGTAGTAACAATCTCAAATGATTCATAGAGTTTATAAAATGAAATTTTAACTATTACTGGTAGGTGTTTCTGAAACAAATTTATTACTGAATAAATAAATAAATATGTGTCAATATTAACAGGATTTATACTACATGTACTAAACAAATCACATCAAAGGCACATTAATAACTGGAGAAGTAATATCCCAATAGTTCATAGAAATAAATTTTATATATTTGACATAACAATAATTAAAAGGCTTTGAGTTGTCTCCCATGGTCTATAACACAATAATATATTTTGGATAGATTTTTACACACCAGAAGAATATTTCCTGAAAGAACCAGCTGCTCCATTTCAATGGCGTTCCATGGATCCAAATACATTTTTGACAAAAGCTGAAAAACCAAAGAAAGTGCAACATCATTCCAATGTGAGTTTTATTGCAATTCTTTCAGTACTTAGGTAGAATGAATGATTTTACAAGCAGATAAGGATAATTTTTCTTTGAATTTTCAAGTGACCAAAACATATTGAGATGTATAACTAGCATGATATAGCATTTTCTAATATTATGAAATACAAGATGATATTTTCCTACAGAAACAAGAGCTTGTAGTTATATGTGGCTGTCCAGCATCTGGGAAGAGTACATTCAGAAGGAGACATTTTGAGAAGCATGGTTATCAAGTGGTAAACAGAGATACAATGGGAACAATGGATAAATGTGTCAAGGTATGAATAACTTGAAATGACATGTACAACAAAACATCGGAATTATCACAAAGAATTATGTTTTTACTAGTAACATATTTTGCATGCTTGTCATGACTCAGTCACGTTGTAGGTTCCTTCCTCATTCAGATCAAACAAAATAAATTTAAAAACATCGAATATGTCTTATCTTTTTTTAAATCTAACACATGACAATATTGGAGTAAAGAGTGTTAGTAGCTGAGATTCAAACTGATGTGTCGGAGTGAGGTGATAAATATTCCTGTGGACAGAAATAAACCAATTTATGATGTTCCTATTTAAAACATGATTCAATTTAAAGGAGAATACTCCGGAAAATAGTGTTGGGTGGAAAAACAAGCTTGATGTTAAATTTTTTTTTTGTTAATCCATTATTGATTACATTACCATATGGACCAACAAAAGTTTGAATTAACTTTTAAAAGGCTTTTCCTTTGTTCAAGCTCTGCTCAAATAGCTAAAAATAGTTGGACATCCCGTTTTTTTTAATTGAATAAAAGTTAAGGGACAGATAAAGTAAAAATGACAATTTTGCCATCAAATTTCTATCCAATTTAGGCAGCAAAGGAAGCAGTGAAGAATGGTAAAAGTGTGGTCGCAGATAATACTAACCCATCAACTGCTGCCAGGAAAGATTTTGTAGAAGTGGCAAAGAGAGCAGGTTAGGGTTTTAGAATAAATAAATCTGATTAATTAAGGCAGTAAAACACTTCTTTACATGGAGATATTGTCTGTTTAGTTCCATTATGCAAAAAAGATGTGAAAATATGCCTTTTAGTTCTTGGTTTCTTGAATTACTGTAAATAAAAGAAAATGCATCCGTTCAAGGATAACTTTTCTTAGATACTAACCTGTACTGATTATCATGATTATGGAAGAAATCTTGTTTCTAAATCCATGAAGTTACCATCACATGCATTTGACATCATCATACTTAATTGTAACTCTTTCCCTTTTGTTTTTTGAAGGCATACCATGTAGATGTTTTGTAATGAAGACTCCACTAGAACTGGCACACCATCTAAATCTAGTCAGGCAGAACCAAACAGAAGGACAAGTTCGTAGAATTCCAGATGTTGGATATCATGTGTACAGAAAAAACTTTGAATCTCCAACCAAAGCTGAGGGATTTTCAGAAATTATAGAAATTGACTTTATTCCAGAGTTTGACAACAAATCAGATGAAAGTTTATTTAGACAATGGACTGATTCTGCTTGAATACAAATTCAGGATTGTCATAGTTTGTGCCATGTGAGGCCTCTTTGTAGTAATAACTTAAAACTCAGCGGCTGGTTTTATCTGTTTTCTTTTAGTTTTTCAGACAACAAGTTATTTCTTCATTGTTAGGCTAACCAATACTGTATATATATGTGACCTGCTCCTGTGGTTAATTATACAAAGGCGAACCAATTATTTTTTTTTATTAATTTTTTATTCATGTTATAATATGTTTTTTATGTTTTTAACATGTTTTAGCATAAATGTATTTGTTATTGAATGTTTATAAATGTTTGACTTACCAGAGGTTTGTTTTAGATAAGTTTCATTATTTTTATGACAAATTTACATTGTTTCTAAGACAATCATTACATTTACATCCGTTGTGTTATTTATTGCAAACACATTTTTTACAAATATCAAAATAAATTTTCAGCAGTAAAATGAGAAAAGTTTTGGGTATGAATTCTTTGTCTTATTGTCAGGGTTAAAAGAATAGATTGATAGCTGGTTACGTATAGTTTATATGGTGATTGGTAAGTAGACAGAAAATAAATGTAAACTGTCTTTTATGCAATCATAAAATCAACCAGACCCTTGTAATATCAAATCAATATTTCAACATTTTTTAAGTCAAAATTTTTTTAAAAAGTTGTGGATGATGAATCACCAACCATTGACAAAAATATCCAAACAACATCAAAGATATGTACCTTGCAATATAAAATTTTACAGCTATTTTATCGTAAGTTTAACATTTTTAGAAACATTCAATAGATGAACTAACATTCAGCACCAACTTGCAATGTCTACTCACTTTTGTGATAAACCTTTGTTTTTATAACAAAAGACAAATAAAAATTGACAAGAACATAACTTTTAACACTATAAAGAATAATTAACAACAACATGGAAGATGTCCTCTTTATTAAGAATTAAAAAATCCTGCTTCACTCTCACTCATGTCAGGCTTTGTAACAAGTGAAAAAAAGAAAGGTTGATAAATGACAAATGGATGTGCTACTGTTCAGCTTGATGGAAATGATTCCCTTGAATCCTTAAGTGTTTTTCATTGTTTAAGTCTATTGACATGAAGAACATTGAAAATAGACACAATTCATATCAAAATATATGTGATTTTTTAGTACTATTTGAATTGGAATGTTTTATTCAATATTGTAGTAGAATTTTGTTACCCTCTTTTGATTTTTATCAGCCCGTTTACGGGACGTATTATGGTATACCGTTGACCGTCCGTCCGTCTGTCCGTCTGTCCGTCTGTCCGTCTGTCTGTCGTCAACATGTTGGACATTAACTCAAAAACGCTTTTACCAATATGCATGAAACTTTGGTGAATTGTTTATATCTAATGACGTGAGATCCCTTTCGTTTTTTATAAATTTCGGATTTACCATTTCAGAATTTTGGAATTTTATTCATTAAAAAAGGGGGGATTTTCCAGTTTTCGGACAATAACTCAAAAACAATTTCACCAATTTGCAAGATACTTTGGTGAATTGTTTAATGCTATCGACATGAGCTCCCTTTTGATTTTTATAAATTTTAGACTATATGTTTCTGATTTATGGGGTTTTATTTGTTACAAAAAGGGGGATATTCCTGTTTTCGGACAATAACTCATATTTTATGAAACTTTGGTAAATTGTTTATATCTATTGTTGTAAGCTCCCTTTTGATTTTTATAAATTTTAGATTTTATGTTTCCGAGTTACAAGATTTTATTCATAAAAAAAGGGGTGATTTTCAAGTTTTTGGACAATATCCTTAAAGTGCTTAGAGCAGTTTTCATTAAACTTTGATGACTGATTTATATCTATTAAGATAACCTCCCTTTAGTTTTTTTTATAAATTTCTAATGTAACATTGAGAAGTTATTGAACTTTATTTGTTTATAGTCTGACAACAGATTTACTAGTTTTGCGCAACAGCACAGTGTATTGCACAACAGAAAGAAATCTTTAATTGAATATAAATTCAATTCATATAACCAATTTCAAGTTCTTTGACTACATTTATTCAATAACCTTTAATATGTCAAATATTTAATTACAATCCAAATTCAGACCTGTATCAAGCTTGAATATTGTGTCCATTTTTGCCCCAACTGTTCAGGGTTGGACCTCTGCGGGCGTATCCAGCTGCGCTCAGCGAAGCAGTTTATTTTATGATCCAAGATATGCTTGTCAGGAAAAGGAAATAATATGTCAACCAATGCAATTTTACCATTAGATAGATACATCCACCTTTAATATACATAAAAGTTATGTGAAGTTTAATAGTGAAAATACAAACTATACCCTCTGGTGAAAATATTGCCATTAAATGACAAAATTTATAAGCTAAAATTCTTAAATAATTCCAAATTTTCATGTGCACTTCTTCCATAATGTATGCATTTAAGACATACATATAACTATATATACAGAGTAAAAAAGTTAAGCAACACATATTTTTGTATTTAAGAAATAATCTATAATTCGAAACATAACAATTAACAATTTATTGTACCAAAGAAAATAAACCATAAGATGCAAGTTTTACTCTACTAAACATCAATTATAAAGTATTAAGGGTCAACACTGAAGAAGGATGTTACAACAAAAACGCCACTATAGCGAAAACTTACTGAAAATGTGTGTATAAAGCTCCTTACCCAAGTCTGCAAAAATGGGAACATTTTCCTCAAACAAGTTTTTGATATCAGATCACTGTCACTTGAATATCTATCAATAAAGGATTTGAATTTGTTTTGAATGATGTATATAGTATTAAGATACGTTTTATTTTTTGCATTTTTTTAATTTAATTGATAGAAATTCAAGTGACTGTGATCAGATGCACAATTTTAATATGTAACATATCCTGTGAAGTCAAACATCAAGGGTTGACTGGTTAATAGAATAATGGTCAGCCCTAGACTTCTCCTGTCCATCGATAAAACTCTTCCTTTAAAAATGTGTGGGGACTTACTCCTCTAGTATGTAAACAGAAAGAAATCAGCTAAGCAAGATCTACAAGTAAGTCTTTATGATCAAAATCGACAAACTATTCCTTATAGGGTTATCAATCTTCAATTATGATGTTTACCCAATTTTGCGTTTTTGGCGAAAAATTTAAACAGAAAGAGAGAACTGTAAAAAATAAATATAAAGACTATTTGCGTTTACACTGTTTGTACTTTGTACCTTATTACTGTTGTAAATAAAGTCTATACTCAATATACATGCACTCTGTGATGTTTATTGTTGTAACAATCAATTGTAACTGATTTTTATGTCCATTATGGGCCCTGTAATTTGGGAAATAAAATATTCCATTCCATTCCATTCCATTCCATTCTACAACGCTCCTTGTGAGCTCATTTATAAAATTAACATCTTCTCAAAAAAAAAGTTTTACAGGTAAATTAACATGACAGAAATTGTCAATCCACTCCATATTAGGAGTTATTGCCATTAGATGACATTTTTGTCGAGCCTGCGAAATTTATTTCAAAAAAGCGAGTCATAGAGATCCTAGATTGCGGCGTCGGCAGCGTCAACATTTAGGTTCAGTCTATGGTTAATAGATATCAATAACTTTGTCAAACCTACATGGAATTTTATGAAAATTTGGACAGAAGCTGGTTTATGACCAAAAGACAGAGTATCTAGAGCGAAAATTTTGAAAGTATTTATTTTTAATTTCTGTATTTTACTGATAAATGGGTTTATTTTTTTCACAGTTAACACTCAGGCTAAGTCTGAGGTTGAAGTTTTTCGGTCATCAATAACTTTATCAAACCTTCATGGAAATTTATGAAATTTGGACAGAAGCTTGTTTATGACCAAAATACAGTACCCAGAGCAAATTTTTTGAAAGTATTTATTTTTATTTTTTCCGTATTTTACTGTTTTACAGTTAATTAGTAGATACAGTCTGGGATTAAAGTTTGTTATACGTCAATAACTTTGTTAAACCTTCATAGACTTTTAGGGAACTTTTGCACAAGCTTTTTAATGATTAAGAGATTATGTCTGAAGCAAACCTTTGCAAATATATTTTTTTCAATTTTAGTATTTTTCTGATAGATGGACTTCGTTTTTTACGGTTAACATTAACAGACAGTCTCGAATTAAATTTTTTCAGTGACATGATAAATTTATTAACTAATGGATTGTTATGTAACTTGGACTGAAAATAATCTTCAAGGCAAAAAAAAAAAAAGGCGGCTCCTTCATTTCTGTATTCTTTAATTTTTAAGGCCATTTTTCTCTATTCTTTATATTTTAGCACCTAATTTTTCTCTATTCTTTATTTTTTTAATCCATTTTTCTCTATTCTTTATATTTTTTGCCCATTATTCTCTCTTCTGTAATCCCCCATCCACACCCTCATAGCATTTCTTTACAACTGGTACATATTTATGAATGTATTATTAGATCTAGAGTAAACTTGGTCACAATTTTATTCAGTGTGTGAAAGATGGCTACCCATGACCGTTGCTAATGATATTGTTGTTAAAATTGAGAATGGAAATGGGGAATATGTCAAAGAGACAACAACCCAACCAAAGAGCATATTTTTGCCAGGTGAGATTCAGGCTCATATGAGCTATAGTTGTTTTTTTTTGCCTGTATTTGTGATCATGTTTGTGGTATTTTTCCATTTTCCTCTAATTTTGAAATTTTAACTTTTGAATTTGTTCATTGTTATAGCTCATACAGCCTGTCATGTTATTTGTTTGTTTGTGTTTGTGTGTGTGATGTTGGGTAATGAACAAGCTGCTTCACCGCTTGCTTATAATGGACAATTTTTGTCGAGCCTGCGACTTTTGTCGCAGAAAGCTCGACAGGGATAGTGATCCTGAGGCGGCGGCTTTAACTAACTTCTTAAAAGCTTAATATTTCAGAAGGTAGAAGACCTGGATGCTTCATACTTTGTATATAGATGCCTTATGATATGAAGTTTTTGTCTGTCATATGTCCATTGTCCTTGACCTCATTTTCATGGTTCAGTGACTACTTGAAAAAAAAAAGTGAAGATTTTTTGTAATGTTAATTTCTCTCTTATTTTGAGTAATAGGATAACTATATTTGGTATGTGCATACTTTACAAGGTCCTCATGTCTGTCAGACAGTTTTCACTTGACCTCGACCTCATTTCATGGATCAGTGAACAAGGTTAAGTTTTCGTGGTCAAGTCCATACCTCAGATACTATAAGCAATAGGTTTACTATATTTGGTGTATGTAATGATTGTAAGGTGTACATGTCCAACTGGCAGGTGTCATCTGACCCTGACCTCATTTTGATGGTTCAGTTGTAATAGTTTAGTTTTGTGTTTTGGTCTGTTTTTCTAATACTGTATGCAGTAGGTCAACTATATTTGGTGTATGGAAATATTTTACGATGTACATGTCAGTCTGGCAGGTTTTATTTGGCCTTGACCTGATGTTCATGCTTATGTTAAGTTTTCGTGCTTTGGTCTGTTTTTCTTAAACTTTAAGCAATAGGTCAACTATATTTGGTGTATGAAATGATTGTAAGGTGTATATGTCTGTCTGGCAGGTATCATCTGACCTTCACCTCTTTTTCATGGTTCATTGGTCAATGTTCAGTTTTCCTTGTTAACTTCGTTTCTTAGATACTATAAGCAATAGTCAACTTTATTTGATGCATGGAATGATTTTAAGGTGTACATGTCTGTCTGGCAGGGTTCATCTGACCTTGACTTCATTTTCATGGTTCGTTGGTCAATGTAGAATTTCCACGGTTTATTCTGTTTCTTTTATACTATACGCAATAGGTCATCTATATTCTGTGTATGGAATGATTGTATTAAAAGTGTCCATGTATTTCCGCCTTGGTTTATCTGACCTTGACCTCATTTTCTTGGATCATAAATGTTAATGTGATACTTGTAGTAAAACTTTATATGTAGTAAAACTGAGAACGGAAATGGGGAATGTGTCAAAGAGACAACAACCCGACCAAAGAGCAAAAAACAGCCGAAGGTCACCTATGGGTCTTCAACACAGCGAGAAAATGCCGCACCCGGAGGCGGGCTTCAGCTGGCCCCATAAACAAAAATGTGTACTAGTTCAATGAAAATGGACGTCACACTAAACTCCAAAACATATAAATGAACTAAAATTTAAAAAAAAACTATCAACATAAAATCAATGGTCAGTATAGTAGGCGAGACATTTCAGCCGTGTGCAATCTTGTTAATCTTAAGGGTGGAATTTAAACTTAATTTTTGTAAGTACTGATTTAAGAATGAAACGCTAACTTTACACATTAATATTTAATATTTTTGATCAATTCTGGGGCAAGTGTGACATGAATATTAAACCACTGCATTAAATACTTCACTGATCACATATTTTTAGATACATTTACAAGGCCAAAAATTCATCACTCATAACAACTCATCAATCAAAAAGCGAATTGTATGCATGCCTGTAAGAATTAAATATATATGTAATACGTGATTAAGATGCACATTTGACAAGTCTGACGAACGTCCACATAATTTTGTCAATTAGATGTCGGAACTGCTATTAGACTACCTTTAATGTCACAAAGGTAACGATTCCTACAAAACTTTTATCACTCCCACATAAAAAAAAACTCGTCAAGTCTTAAATATATTAAAAGTCTTAAAGACTATCCGGCTTGATTCCGAATTATCTTTGAGAGAGGTCTTTATTTGCATTGACGAGACAGAGAGCGCTTACGCCATGTAAAATATCTATTTAATTAAGATAAATTCTAATTGACCAAGAGTGCTATAAAAATATATTTTGAAATAGAGATAAATTTTAACTTGAGAGATCTTTCATTTCTTATAGAGCCGAAGGTTAACCAGAAACCCATTATCCATTAAATTATGTAATAGTTTTCATTTTCATGTTGAAACTATTTGTCCAACTTTCAAGTTAGAAAATGCAAACAGGAATTTTAACAGATAAGAAATGTATCGAACATATAGCTCAAAAAACTAACCCCTTGAAAATAGCAAAAACATGACTATCATAGATAATTTTTAATGGTCATTTTTTATTTTCTTTTTTAATCGAAAGACAATTTCTTTCATATAGCTTTGAAGGAACCTTTGTTTCGGATTAGTTTGTATGCATTGCAGCAATGGTGTCCCATAGATTTCTTATGTGGAAACACATTTTTACCTTTTCTAAATCTGTAACTCATATACTGATATTAAAATTGAAAATTATGCTTTAAACGGGTTCTTAATGCAATTTTCTCATTGTTTTCCAGTCTGATGCAAAACATTTGGAGTCAATACCAATTGTTGATTGAAGTTGGACAAATTAAGATATATATATGGACTAAATGCAAAGCAAATATTTTGACAAAATATCCTGTGGTCGCCGTTAAATTTATTCAAATCTTGCAGATACTCCTGAGAATCACTAAGAACTTTATGCGTTTTTTACGATTGATTGATTGTTGGTTGCTTAACGTCCAGTGGCAAATATTTCAGGTATGTCCAGGACGAGTCACGTTAACAATAAATACAATTGGTAGGTCCTAAATGTAGAGGCCGTTCGGGACAAATGTATGGGAAATTTGGACTGCCACTGAAAAATGAGGGTATTGTGGATAGGGACAGACATTTTGCCTTCCAAAAGGCCACCTACGTACCCCTTCAAGAGTTGTTGCAATGTTTTTAACGTGCAGAGAGCGTGGCACTATCTCTATACGAGGCATCGGATTTTACGTCCCTATTCTGACCGTACGTGACTGTGTACATCCCGGACAACCAAAAAGACGTCCCACTTCGTCATGGGTTTTACTGCCGGTCGGAAGAGGACTAAAGTGACCATATTTCTATTCCCCAGTCACCCTTGGGGCAGGTTTTTTTTACCAGATTTATCTGCTATTATAATTTGTTGAAAGTCGTATGGTGACCTCTATTTTGGATAAATAACTCTGTGAAAGATGTCGCATTGCTGTCTTAATGAAGTTTAATCCACATTTGCCTGTATTCATATTTTGTCAACATGGCGTGGTAGAAATATGCTCCACCATGAAATGTTTTCTTAACACACTGAAGTCGGGGTATATAACGATTGCCATGTGTGTTCATTTATTCGTTCGTCCGTCTGCACGCACCGGGCTTGTATTCGCAAGTCGTCCTCAACCGTGCCTAATTGCATTATACACCTGGTATGAATTTTGAGCGTTACTCGGGTTTTCTGGTTCATACATGTACTTGATTTGGAGGTTTTAATTCCTTTAAAAGAAACGATTAATGTTCATTATCTGTAAATGATTTTTGATAAACGTGAAAGGGATTTAACTGATATTGAACCAAACATGGACAAACTTGTAACATCCTTTTCATTTCTCGTGAATTCTTTCCTTTTTATGTAAGATTATGCAATTGATAACCAATGCAAATGTTATTGTGTTTTACATTCGTTATACCTGACAAATGTTAAGTTATTGTGTTTTACATTCGTTATACCTGACAAATGTTAAGTTATTGTGTTTTACATTCGTTATACCTGACAAATGTTATTGTGTTTTACATTCGTTATACCTGACAAATGTTAAGTTATTGTGTTTTACATTCGTTATACCTGACAAATGTTAAGTTATTGTGTTTTACATTCGTTATACCTGACAAATGTTATTGTGTTTTACATTCGTTATACCTGACAAATGTTATTGTGTTTTACATTCGTTATACCTGACAAATGTTAAGTTATTGTGTTTTACATTCGTTATACCTGACAAATGTTAAGTTATTGTGTTTTACATTCGTTATACCTGACAAATGTTAAGTTATTGTGTTTTACATTCGTTATACCTGACAAATGTTATTGTGTTTTACATTCGTTATACCTGACAAATGTTAAGTTATTGTGTTTTACATTCGTTATACCTGACAAATGTTAAGTTATTGTGTTTTACATTCGTTATACCTGACAAATGTTAAGTTATTGTGTTTTACATTCATTATACCTGACAAATGTAAAGTCATTGTGTTTTACATTCGTTATACCTGACTTTTAAATTCGTTATACCTGACAAATGATCCCATATTTCTTTTAGATTTTCTAAATCTTTGCATTATTATTGCATGTAGATGCACTTTATATTTAAAGTAATGATTCAAACTGTTAGATCCAAATGGATTTTTAATAACAGACGTTTTGACACCAATGCTCATAAAATTAAATCTTAAGTCCTGTGATTATACTAAGATTGATTTTTTTATATTATGTGTATGTGAATGTGCAGTAATGTTTGAAATTTATGTTAATTAGAATTTGCAGTCTAGGCGTAAAGAAACAAATAAAAACCAAGTGTAACGGAAATATAGTTTGAATACGACTATTACAGTAATTGTCGTTAAAACAAAACAACGTTAACTTAAATTATTACCTAAAACATTTCATCATCCGACACCTTGCAAACTACCTGTTCAATGCAGGAATCTAAACCAGCTTTGACACTAGGAACATTTAATTTTTACAGTTGGACAACTTTGATAGATTTTCATATCAAATACTATAATATTTCGTAAAAATAAGCAAGAATGTTTTCAATATTGATTCAATTCATTGATATGAAAATAAAGTTTCACGGTTCTAAATAAGTATGTAAATAAACTTGTTAATTCAGGTAGAAAATGTATTTCTTTCGCATACTGTCCTCGGTTAAATCTTACCTTCTTTTCACTATAATATCTTTTAACTCTAATACTAAGAATTTTGAATAAGCACGTGATTTGTTGGTTCGCCTGAAGGTGATGTATATAAATTTGATATTTAAAGCATATCTTATCAGTGTATATAGTTATAGCAGCCTTAAATGTTCAAATTGAAAAATGTTTTTGATATATAAATACATTTTATACTGAACTTTGAAATGCTCGAAGGCACGTAACTCTACATAAAAACTAAATAACATTTGGTGCGTGATCTGTAATTTTTCTATAGTCTGGATATCCCCGTCGAGAAATGAAAAAGTACTATCTATCTATTCAGCAATTAGTTTATTTAAGTATCACTTTCATCGCCACAGGACAGTGAGAAATGGACGGAAAATCTAATAAACACTATTCAGTTGAGAAAAATGAGAAGTGTCTATGTTAAAACGTAACTTATGTTAATTTCAAATGGGGACGCAAATTTTTAGTGATGAAACTGACAAAGATGCTGAAAGCATCATTAAGTATACAAGACAACCAAAAAAACCACCAGCGTATGTGCCTAGAAGCCGATCATTGGATGACTTGCCTGGTGGATTACGTGTACCAATCCTTAAGAAACCTGATTCACGTTTCCAACAAAAATATGAAGCAAACGTTGCTGGTTTAGAGGAACTCAAAATGTTACGACAGAAGCATGGAAAAATGGTCGAAGACATAACAGCTACATTAGTCCCTCAAGAAAAGGTTGGTTATTTTTTTCATATTGGACTTTTAAACAAACTATTTGTATAAGTTTAGACAACAGCCTCCCCTTTTCCATTCTGTTGTCCTTGATATGCATGAAATAATTGCCACTGGACATTAAGCTAGCAACAATCAATTTATCATCCATTCATTCAAAATAAAATACCGGTCATTAAGATGATATATTTGAATTATTAATTTTCTGTACAAAACCACCTATGTGTAAAACTTGTCTAAAGGGACATCAAATTCTAAATTTCCATATATATTTAAACTTAATGACTTTTTCAATATTAAAATAGTATATTTACATTTAAAAATTTACGATCGGTCGATCAATATACATCAACTGTATCAAAGTATATGATATGAGGGTAACCTGAGTGCAGTCTTATATAATCTTCGAAATTTACGTCATAAAGTAAGAAAATGATAATATAAAACTAGCAATTAAGCCTAGGACAAAATAAAAGTAAACACTGATTTCCTTGTCTGACAAAGTGACATGATGCATAACAGAAAATTACTTCAGCATATCCGTATGCAGCTCCTTTGTCATGAGCATTTGTTTTGGTCAACATTTAGAAATTATAAAAAAAAATTGCACTTCATATAACTGTAACTTTTCTTTATCATGTCTAGACTAAGGCATGTTTTAACAAAAGTAATACATATTTTACAAAGTTGTACCAAGACATCTGACTGTGAGGCATGTTCACGCTATTCAAAAATAGGTTTATGAAACTCCAAGGCATACACAATAAATGAAACCTTTTTCTGTTATAAAAGGCTCGAATTTTCATTGTGTTATTTTAAATTGGACGAAAAATATATTTTAATTTAATACAAGTTGGGAATTTTTTTTTAAATTGTTAAGAAACTATTTGGCAACAATCCACATGTGAGGTCTAGTTTAAATTTTGGCAATTGTAGGGAAAATACTTGTAGATAAGGAAAGACTTCTGTTCAAAAAATGCCTGGATGACAAGTTCTATATTTACATTTTGTCCTGTAAGCTACTTGTATTGTAATTACACTGTCTGTGGTGATATCGATACATTGATCGGTGATTCTTAGGTAACCCATTGAATTAAACATCCTTGGGTAACTACAGTTATCAGTATATGTTGAACTGAGCTTAAAATTTCCTGGTGTATCTTTTATCAATGGAGATACAAAAATAGATATTAAAGATTTTATTGTTCTAATATGCATTCAAAGTCCGTCGCTCGTCTGTAAATTGTTCATATTGGGCTAATTGAAAAGAAATTTAGAAAAAAGACACCCTCCCTCAGTAGATATGGTCTTCAACTTGGACTTTATTTAAAACATGTATAATAATATTCTTCTTTGAGTACGCCCATCAAATTGAAACCAAATCTAATATATGTAACCGGGAGACTGGCTACTGGAATGACGATGATAACGAGATGCAACACGGTCGGTTGCAGAAATTGGCGATGCCTACGATAGACAATGAAGTAGACCTAGTCACTTGCCTGAGAACACTCGCTTTAACTCCACTAGTAGAATTAGACACAAGTCCTATGCAGTATCCAATTATATATACATAGAAAGTGCATACAATTATATTGACGGACAAATAGTCAAATCAAATGATTTCGATAGAATAATGATTAGTTTAAAATATAGAAATGACAATTTATGACCGTAGAGCAATTCATCGGCGAAAGTATTAAAATGTCCGAAATAAGAACAATACTCTTTTTGAATCGTTCAAAATAAAGATGCACAACTTTCACAGATTCAGCGCTATTACACTTACCTGCTTCAACGTTCAGAAATAAACCCTACACATGCCAAGGAAAATATTTTTCAACATAAGCTGCACAACTGAGATTGGGCTATGGTTGTTCAAAGCCATTGTATCTGATTATTTGATAATACCACACCAACTATTTGCCTTATATTAAGATAAGTCCGTCTGTCCGTCCTGCCTTAGTTTTTTGACGTATGAAAGTTAAGATTGTCTCACCTGATTTCCATTAATTTTTATACACAGTCATATCTTTAAAACGAAGATCCTTTTTGATTTTTTGTAAAAATTGGGAAAAAACATTGTTTTAAAAAAATGGTCATATTCCTGACTTGGCACAGGAATTTTCCTACGAACAATAGGGGTTAAACAGCGGTTCCCAAGGATTTGAGAAATCAACTGGACATTTTGTCCAGTAAACCACTCTTCTTAACTGGACCAGGCTCTTTTTACATGATATTTACACATGTGATTTCGACAAAATCAAAAATTTTACTGGTCATTTGGTCAAGTTATTTCCCATATCACTTAACTTGACCAAACTAATTTTTACTGACCTTTGCTCAATGTCCGGCGACCTTGGGAATGTCTGGAACCTAAACCTGTTTTTGTTTTTTCAAGTTAGCTAAAACGCCCACTTGTATGAAAGTTTATTAAATGTTCCGTAATATTGCCAAATTCGGTGAGCAACCTAAACAGACATAATTGGTTAACGTGGCAACAACTGGGATCCAGCAGCCAAAGCTGTGTAAACGTACATCACAGACTGGCATGCAACACAACTGAAATAAACGTTCAAACACACTTACAATTAAATCAAACATGGGCGCCAACTAAAAAAAATTGTGAAGTTGATAATGCAGACTTGAGTCAGTATATTAAAGCTAAATGACACATACACTCCCCCGATAAAATCAAAATAAGTAAAATATCAAAACAAGGGTATACAAAATGAAAACAACACTATGAAAACCTCATGTGTCCGAATCGCATCTCTGGACCCATCTGCATAAGGAACGCCAAAAGCCAAAAACCTGAAAGCTGGATGCACATATACTGACTGAACCACATCAAGATTCATACGACCAAATCATCATGGGAACATAACCGTACAAAGACAAATAAAGGTCAAACCGTAAAGTAGATACGATTCTACAGAGTCAGCACCTAGAATCTATAACACAAGACCATCCTGTATTATTAGTGAAGTAGACACTTCATATTTATCTACTAGTATTAGGTCTTGGTACTTTCCAAAGCACTTTTTGACGAGACGTTCTTCCACAAAACCCTGGCTCATTAATGTTTTGCTCAGACACTGATGACGTTGTACAAATCTCTGAGTATATAGCAGCTGCAAGCTCTTAAATATCTTATGGGTTGAGAAATGTATAATCCATATGCGGATGAAGTTGGTAAATTGTTGTTAAGGTGAGGAAAATTTATAATTTCAAATTTGAAATCAATTCGTTTGTCATAGACTCAGGTATTTGAATGACCGCTGTAGTCAATTTCGGGGTATATAAGTCTAAAAATGAGGCTGAGGAAGCTTCATGTGTGGTATCTGTAATCTTTAGTTTAGGACTATCACTGGGACCCAATAAGAACAGTTTGTATTGTTTATGGAAAGACCATCTTCAATATAAAATTGAGAATGGAAATGGGGAATGTGTCAAAGAGACAACAACCCGACCATAGATCATACCTGAATGTAAAATTAAATGATCTAGCTTCTTTATCTAACCTTTACGAATCGCCTCGGTGGTCTCGTGGTAGCGTGTTCGCCTCGAGTGCGGGCGGTCGTGGGTTCGAACCCCGGCCGGGTAAAACCAAAGACTTTAAAATTGGTATTTGCTGCTTCTCCGCTAAGCACGCGGCATTAAGGAGTAAAAGCAAAGACTGGTCGGCTCGCAGTCAGAATAATGTGTCCGGGTAAGGTGACATGTCTTCCTGCGGACTGTTACCTTATGAACTAGCACGTTAAAAATCCGACTCAGTGTGTCGGTCTAGTACAAAGCAGGGTTAATATTCTTATTACATCAACATGTTCTCGTCCTGAATATGCATATCAATATGCCGCTGGACGTTAAGCAGCCATCCATCATCATCGTCGAACGTTTACGAAAACAAAAACGTACTCAGTAAGATATTTCAAGTGGAAGACCACCAGACCCCCTCTCGCTTCACTCATTCGTGGATCCATCTAGCATTATAAATACAAAGATGTTTACTATTCGACAATTTACGCTCCTGGATGGAGGTCTTATTATCTTGGTTGCCTAGTTAGCATTTCCTCTTAAATGAAAACAGGTTTAAATGTGCATGGGTCTATATGTTAACCCCCCCCCCAAAAAAAAGCATTACCTTTCGTTCTTAATAAGCAATTTCATGCTTCAATTAATTACAAGTATATCAATATATAGTAGACGAAATGTTGTATTCTGATCATTAAGCCTGGTCACACCTTGTCTGTCACGATAAAAATAATGCGTTGTCTGATCTTTCACGATCAATTTTTATTCAAAATCAAGAGAATTATACTTTTTTTCAAAAATTATATGAACTTTTTCACAGATTTTTAAGTAGAATTACACCTAATTGCATTCACGATCCGATACCAGATCTTTCATGATCCGATCGCAATTCCTGACCACTGTTAGTTATTCTATCACGATCATTTTTCTCGATATACCGAATGGCACTCGTGAGAGAGGGAAGGATCAAGATTGGACCTGCATTTTATTCGATTGTTTTCTTTCTAATCGAGCAAACATTTATGAAAATTAGACTGGACTCCCTTGTAAATTTCTGGAATGTCCTAAATGAAAGGCCCGATAGTCCAAAGGCCTAGGACAAATTTAACATCAAGGAGGTCTCATACTTATATTTACATTTTAGTTACAAAAGACGTTTGATAAGTCGTTTATCAGTCTTTTTTTATCATTAAATCATTTCTTGTAAGTTTTTAGTTGCTAAGTTGGCAAAGGCAAATCTATTTTAAAGTAACAATATTGAAAATATTGCACTAGTCGGAGCCCAAGTTTAATCCTGTCCAAATGATTTAAAATAAAGATCAAATACAATTTATAAGAAATACATTATGACTATATCTATTTGTTCAATCAAATTTATTTACATTAAGATCATTTTCTATGAACAACAGGATAAGAAAAAACTGCTTTACACAGTTATGCGATATTTGAATACCTTAAGTGATGACTTG